ATGACCACCAAGCCACACCCACAAATTAGGCCATGCCCAAGAACTGATTGTTAAGTAAGTTGAATCCTACCTTGCGTCTGTGTGTTTGTGTATATAAGAGAGGGAGGGAGAGGGAGAGGTTAGATTAGATCTCTCTCTCTCCCACCAACATCAGCAAGCCACCGTCGGTCAAAATTCATATTATGAGTTTGGTGGTCCCTGAGGTCCAAAAGATTGGCGACCCCTGATCTAGGTCATAGTTGTCCCAAAGCTGCTTTTCCAGGAGGCAACTGGACTTTCTTGTTTTTTCTTAGAAGGCATTTTGCTTCTCATCCAAAAAGCTTCTTCAGTTCTGATGGGATAGTAGGGAATAGAATGATTTATATTCTCATCCAAGGACACAGATAAACCTTCAGGTGCTTCAACGACCCTCTACAAGGATGCAAATGACCAGCTGTCTGCAAGGAATATAAATCCTTCCATTCCCCACTGTCAAAGTTGAAGAAGCTGCTTGGATGACAACTGAAACATCTTCAAAGAAAAAAACAAAAAAGTCCAGTTGCCTCCTAAAAAAAAGCATCTTTGGGATATTCAACAAGTAACAAAGTAGAGAGAGTTCACATCAAGTTGTAGTTGCCAGATGTACAAAGTATCAGGTGTGAAGCAGTGCCTGCTCATAATAGAGGTTAAACTTCAACTTGGTGAAGTCCAAATAAGTCCAGTATATGAATTACAGTATCCTAACATATTTACAGGGTCCTAAATTAGGTTGGGTGATAATATTATTAGTGGGTTAAATACGAAGCAGAAAGAAAGGATGTATCTGTTTCATTCTGAACAACCTACATTGATTTATAAAAAAGAAAAAGAACCTTGTGAAACAAAGTAAATTATGTATGAGCAATGGAGTCTTGCTTCTGAATCTGAGATAAGCATCCATAACTGCCCTCTTGAGGGTTTTTTTTAATATATACATCCTCCCCATCAATATCCATGTGTATTTTGGGGCTGGCAAATTGGGATGTGAGTAAACGTCTAGCAACCTTGCAAGGAAGTGCACCCAGCTATGAATAATGATCCATAGATAACTGAAAAGGGAATTGGCACAACAATTGTAACTCCAAGAACCAGGTGTTAAAATCCCCCCCTCTGCTGCTAAAATGTGATTTCCCACTAAATATCAACAATTCCGATTTTTTTCCATATAATTTTATTGATTCTACTTCAGTCAATTTTCAGTCCACTTCATCATTGCTTAAGCAACCGTTTATTCAGATTTCCTTATTATAATTTGTTTAAGATTTACATCTCAATGCTAAAGTTTATCTCCCCTCTCCAAAATTTGTAAACATTTAAAAAACCAGAACTAATGATAAATGCAAACTCATATAGTTGGAAAATAACAAGATTTGTTCCTCAGTTGTCAGAAATTCACAAAGTGCATAGTAGCAATATCACTTAGACTTATATACCGCTTCTCAGTGCTTTGCAGCCCTCTCTAAGCGGTTTACAGAGTCAGCACATTGCACCAAACAATCTGGGTCCTCATTTTACCGACCTCGGAAGGATGGAAGGCTGAGTCAACCTTGAGTCGGTGTGCATCAAACCCCTGGCCAAGTTAGCCTGCAATACTGCATTCTAACCACTGTGCTTCCACGGCTCATATCTTAGTTTGATATTTTATTTATTTTTATTTATTTATTTGATTTGCCAATTGTTTACAAGATAATAAGTATAAGTGTATACATAGTTGTGAATACATGAACTTAATTTGTCTACATTTGTGCTTCCTTCTGGATGTGTGGACTTCTACTCCCAAGGACTTCTAGCCAGCAAGCCCGTGGCTGAGTGTTCATGGAATGGAACTCTTTTATGTCTAGAAGCTGCCAAGATTTAGAAATGCTGGCCTACATAGAAGTGTTTAATTTCCGAGTATTGAAACAATGCAAAATAAATATTCCACCACTGAATAAATAGCACTTCTCCACAAATGATATTTCAGGACTAAACTTTACTGAGATGGATTTATTCTACAAATGTAGAAAGCACTTACAATTTCAAAGTGTTCTCTATATTTTTTACATACCCCAACACTGTAACTTAACATTTTGCCTTCTCAGAATAACAAAACTGCCAACCTACCATTTTGCTTCTGCCAAAGCACATTCTTCCTCTCTAAATCCTGCCTGTAAAATTAAGGCTGCTAAAAATACATGGTTTATTTTTTGTAGTTTGTAATTCACAATGGCTTTCTTGGGAGGTGGAGCTGGTAAATTGGTATGTGGATAAGCACCTGGTGTGTTTGCAAGGGCCTCCACCAGGAATAATCCGGTGGCCGCAGTGATAATTAAAAAGAAGAATTGGCATGACAAATGCTTTGGTGGGAAAAGGCTTCAAATTGGTTGCTGGGTGTCTAAAAACTACTCTACAAATTAGATAGTGCAGATGAGCCATGAAGGACTGTGTGTAGCCTTTTCATCTTTTAAGTATACTGCATGTATGTTTCCATAAGATCGTTTTAATAGCTCTACTGGTGTTGGAAAGAAATTAAAACAAGACATCCCGCAGAACGCAAATATGCTCAGCCATAATGGTTTGCTGAAGTTTAGAATCAAGTTGTAGAAACTTAGCCATTGTGACTCATAAGCCATGGTTTGTAATTCAGTGTTCTGTGCAAATGCAGTTACTAAACAAGGAAGCAGAGCCTAACCAATCAGTTTATCTAAGAGTAGCTAAGTAGGGTTGATTGGAAGTTAGATGGGGGAACGAACTACCAGAATGAGAGAACAGCAAGCCATTATGTGGTGCAGCTCAGAAAATGACAGATTGTCTCAGCTCAAGAGACTTTATATTGTTACTGCAGTTTATTTAAATGAATATGGAGATTAAATGCCTATGGCAGCTTGTTTACTACCACACAGAGTAAAGTTATGTGTAATCAGAACTGTAGTATTTTGTAGGAAAACATTTTATCTGACAAGAAAAGATGACAGTCCCAGGATTTAGCAACAGACATCCATCTGGACCAGTTCAGGAGACCTAGGATTGGACAATAATCCAGACTGGAGAATGAATCAGGAAGTCAATGCAAGGAAACAAGCCAGGATGATTTAGAGCGATAAATATTGGAAAATCAAGCAAGTCTTAAAAATTGGCTTGTTATTCAAGCATTGCTCCTATACAATTGATAGCTTTTAATTTTCCTTTCTGCCCAGCTTATCCAGCAGCCTCTGCCTAAACCTGGAAGGTGCTTTGCTAAGGAAATGCTCACAGGGGTTCCAGGGCAGGTACACCATATCCGAGGCTTCCTGGGGAAGCCGTAGTTTGCCCTGTCTCACTTCAGGCAACAACAATTCTTGGCTGAGGGAAGAAACTGTTTCTTAGATCCTGGCATTCCCTCCAATAGTTGACAGTCAAAAACAGCACTTTAAACCAGGCCCAGAAACTCATGTATCATTACAGTGATCATGTATGAACTTTAAAAAGCCCCATTTCAATTAAGACTTTAGCAGACATATTTTCCACAAGCAATTTTTGGAAGGTTTTCAAACTACATTGCAATAGTCCATAAAAGAGCAATTCCTCTTTATAGCCTGACTGCATATACGAAGCTGGGGTTCCAAGCAATGTTCTGGAATTTACTGTAAATACTGTAGATAGTCCTCGTTTAGCGATTGTAACTGGGGCAAGTTGGTGGTTATACAAAGCAGTCACTAAACAAAAACCACATGATGGCAACCCAATTTGCCTTCAATTTTATTTTAGTTTTCAAGAGCTTCTTGCTACTTCCTTCAGCTGAACTGATGGTCTTTCTTTCTGAGGACACATTGGAGTAAGTAAATAAGCAAGTGAAAAGAGCAGAGAGATGCTGCAAAGGTCATACATGCGAAAGAACTGGTTCCAAAGCATTTTTAGCACCATAAATCTGATCTCTAAGCAAGGACTACCTGTAAATTATTGAAGAATCTGGATGCCTTAAACTCATCCTCTCGATGCAAGAAATCTGATGTTAAGTTAGAATATCTTTTAAGAAATTCCTCAAGGGCAGCACATTATGGAAAGAAACCATTAAGATTCTACTATCAGGCTCAAATCATTCTTAGCAAAAAGATTTATAGCACCTTCATGCCATGACTAGGAAGTAGAGATAAAAGTTGTGTCTTGGTTCTGAAACACTAGTAATAGTCTATTTGGCAGACTAGATTAAAGCAGATCGGGGCCTCAAGTTGCCTTGAAAGACTTCAGCTTCTGCTTTAAATTCTGCTTTCCCAGACACTTAACAAATCAAAAGCATATGAGAGCAGGGTAATTCCTCCCCTTGAAACTCTCAAGCACAGGGAGAAACCAACTGATAATGCACCATTCCTTCCCTTCTTCCATCCAGAATCTTTCAAGTCTTCAAAGATTATATGGACTATGGACAATAGGGTAGAAGTCCACTTTTCAACGCTAAAATCCCAAGAGTCTGGGGCACCTCAGCACAAACATTTACATAAAGCCGGAGGGATTAAAATCTAGAGTAGCAAAATTCAAAGCACAAAGAACATTTTACTAGTGCAAGCAACAGCCAACAGCAATCCTGGATCAGGGGAAATGTACTTTTTATGTTACCATCATTATCTTTGAAAATATTATTATGAACAAAGGCCATCCCAGATAAAATATGCTTGGTGGATATCACCTCCCAAATTAATCCCTTTGCTAGTCACGTCAGCATTTCTTTCTTGTCTGGGTTACTTGTTTCTGCATTCCTAGGATACATAAAAAATAACCCTGATAAAATGAAGTCAGAATGGGGCATTTGGATTCTGAACTAACCATACTGAGGGCAGAAATCTATTTTAAAGCATCCCTAATAGTAGATAACTGGTTCATCTGGTTTGGTCATTAGAAAGTTAAAAAAGAAGAATCACAATGTGCCTTCCTGAAACTTAAATTCATTTTGTGTCCTCCATTCTGAAATAAAGTCTTTTTTCCTTGTAACTTTCTTTCACCTATTTGTATTAAAATTGCCATTTTAATTCCTCAGTTTACTTTTCTTAAGGCTAAATGTATCAGGTCTTTCAATCTGTCTTTAGATATCTCATCCCTGATTATCCTCATCCTTCTCTGAACCTGTTCCATTGTGATCCTTCTTTAAACGATGGTGCCCAACATTGGATTTATTACTTGGGAGTCTCAACAATGCAAAGCAAATTTATTACTGACTTAGAAATAATGCTTTGGTTGATACAGCCTAGAATTGCATTTGCTTCCTTTGCAATTGTTTCACACTGCAGTCAACAATTACTGTATTCCAAGATTTTTTTTTCACATTAACTATTAGCCAGCCAGGAATACCTCCACTTTTTTTTTTTACTTCTGCATTGGATTACTGTTTGTAAGTGAACAACTATACATTTGTCTCCCTTAAATTTTAGTGTTACTTTCAACTCATTTATCTAGGAAAATTGTTCTAAAGTTTATGTTTCTGAATGTTTCATGACCAGGCCAGGTAACATCTTCAGCGGAGTTTGGGGGATGTCAGTGTCAATGATCTTCTGCTTATAAAGGCTTCAGGTGTGGGTGTGTCAAGTGAGGGTCTTGTGATGTGTCACGTGAGAGTCATCAGTGAGACTTGTGATGGGTAGGTTACATCAGGTGAAGGTCATTACAGGGTGAACTGTTGGTGGATGGGTTGCGTGGTTGAGACACAGTGCTGTATCTGGTTGGCTGTGTGGCTGATTTGGATTCTGAGGGGTTTGTAGGCTGGTTGTAGGTCAATGAGTCAGTTGATGGAATTGCTTGTGGAGTGTCAGGCTTCAATGAACTCACAAGCACGGCGGGTGGTAGCGTGGCCGATGATTTTTGTATTGCTCCAGTCGAATTGGTGCTGTTTGATGTTGGTATGGGTAGAGATGTGTTTCTTATTTTTATTCTTCTTGCTTTTAAAGCTTCATAGAATCATTTAGATTGGATACTCACTACATAAAATAAATAATAATAAGTATCACATCCATTTTTGTGTCATCTGATGATCTGATAAACATTCCTGCCACTTTTTCATCCTGGTCATTAAGTAAAAAATATTGATAAACCATAGGATCCAGGATTGAATTTGTGATATTCCATGTGAATCTCTCCCCAACTTGACAGGAGTATTTGAGTGTTATTTTCAAGCCAGATATTAGCTATTAACAAAAAGGATTAATTTTGGGGAACACAGGGGAAAAGAACCTAAACACAATCAGTTCCAATGCTATAAACACAGACAAAAATCTGTCCCAAATATACTTTAGTTTGTGAAAAAAACACACAAGGAAATTTAGCTAAACATTGTTACATAGGAGGCTTTCAAAAACTTTACATAGTTTTGGATACTTTGGTTTTGGTTTTCTGATCTTTGAAGACTGTGTTCCAGTTCCTTTAAAGACACTTCATGACGTTTATCTCGCTGGAAAAAAAGGACAAATAGACATTACTAACAAATTTACATGTTTACATTTTCAAGACCAAGTGCTTGAAGAAGGAAGTAATTTCCAAGTAATTCAGTATTGTTAACTTATATATATATATATATATCTTTGGTTATTCGGGTTTTCTCCCACGTAAAATTGGAGAAAACCCGAATAACCAAAGATCCACATACAAATACCCGTGAAAACCTCAGAAAACAAATATACATATACATATACATATACATATACATACATACATACATACATACATACATACATACATACATATATATTCAAGTAGGGAGACCAGCTATTTTCTCATCAGGTAAGTAAATATCCCTGCAAATTGTGAGTGCTGGCTGTAGTAACTACTTCTGGTTAAATGTGATTACACAAATGACTGCCTTGGGGTAGGGGTTTTTAAACATATAGAACAGAATAACAGAGTTGGAAAGGACTTTAGAAGTCTTCTAGTCCAACCCCCTGCTTAAACAGAAGACACTATACCAGGGCTGACAAACTCGCGGCCCACTGGCTGGCCATGCCTACGCCCGGTTTAGCGAAGGGGGAGAAAGTTGTGATACGTCTCATGATGCTGCTGTGATGACGTGAGTTTGAACCCCTGCTCTATACCATTTCAGACAAATTGTTGTCCAATCTCTTTTTAAAAACCTCCACTTTTGGAGCAGCCACAACTTCTAGAGGCAAGCCATTCCATTGATGGATTGTTCTACAATAATTGTTCTATAATGATAACCTACAACATGTATACATATAACAGTCCTGAGCTTAGTTCATTTGTATATACCAGGGGTGTCAAACTCAAGGCCTCCCGCAGCACTTTGCTGGCTGAAGACGTGCCCCGTTTTGGCTGCCAGAGGCACTGTGGGCTGGGAAGTGCTGCAGGAGGCCGTCCAGGCTGAAAATGGGGCACTGGGGGAATCGTGCACAGACCCCTCTGTGCCCCGTTTTGACCGGCGGTGTGCTGCAGGAGGCATCCGTCCCATCTCATCTCCACCCCCATGTCCAACCCGCCCGCAGAGGAGAAGTACAATGCTGATCCGGTCCTCGAAGAGATCCAGTTTGACACTCCTGGTATATACCATTCACAATTATTCCCAGAAATACTTGAAGTAAAACAATCTTATATGTGTTTTCTCTTCCATAATGTATTTTCAGTATATGTGCATTGTTACGTGCATGTGCATGTGTATATATCATCAAACTATATGTACCAACAACAACTCCCAAAACAAAACAAAAAAGCAGACTACCCATAACAATAAGGAAACTTCAATCCAAAAAGAGATCACTCTGGCGGAAAAACAAATCTGGTCACGTTGCCAATTTCAAAAGCCGATACAAAAATTTATGCCACCAGATAAAGACCGAATGCATCAATTATCACATTAAACAAGAGGAAAACCTTCTAAGCACCAATTCCACCCGTGCTTTTTACAATTTTGTAAACAACAAACTAAAAGACTCAAGGTCTATCCCACCCTTGATAGGACCTGATGGTAAAGACTGCAACGACGACACCACTAAAGCCAACATCTTTAACACATTCTTCAGCTCAGTATTTGTAAACAGCAATGGATCATGCCCAGTATTTCCTAGCCGTACCACAGATAACAACAATGATCTAATACATATCGATTTTACAGAAGTCAATGTTGAAAAAGCACTACGCAATCTAAAACCATCTCTATCTATTGGACCGGATGGAATATGTGCCTACTTCTTAAGAAAGCTATCCACTGCCATAGCCAAACCTCTAAGCATAATCTTTGAAAAATCTTTCAGGACCAGCTCCTTGCCTAACCTATGGTCACAAGCCACAGTCATCCCCATCTTCAAAAAGGGAGACCCAAGCCTAGTTGAAAATTACAGGCCAATCTCCTTATGCTGCGTCACCTGTAAAGTCATGGAATCAATTATTAACCAATCCATCATCCTCCACTTAGAGACAAACAACCTACTCTCCAATAAACAATTTGGTTTCAGAAAAAAACTATCCTGTAATCTGCAACTCTTACACTGCAAAAACATATGGACGACACAACTCGACCAGGGCAAAGCAATTGACGCAATCTACATAGACTTCTGTAAAGCCTTTGATTCAGTGGTACACGACAAACTACTCCTAAAAATAAAATCCTATGGTATCTCTGGACAACTGAATAACTGGATAGAAGCATTCCTGGCAAACAGACAACAAATGGTCAAAATTGGGAGCGTCCTATCAAATTCTGTACCTGTCAATAGTGGTGTCCCCCAAGGCAGTGTTCTAGGACCAACTCTCTTCATACTCTACATAAATGACCTCTGTGATCATATTAAGAGCAATTGCGTTCTCTTCGCTGATGATGTAAAGCTGTTCAATACCACAGACAATACTGCTACCCTACAAAAAGATCTTGACTGTGTATCAGAATGGTCAAACAAATGGCAACTTCAAATCTCAACAAATAAATGCTCTGTCTTACATATTGGCAAAAAAAAATCAGAAAATAAAATACAAGCTGAATAGTCAAGATCTTGTTGATGACCCAAGCTCTGTCAAGGACCTTGGAATACTCACCTCTAATGATCTAAGTGCTAGAGCCCACTGCAACTACATAGCCAAAAAGGCATTAAGAGCTGTTAACCTAATCCTACGTAGCTTTTTCTCTGGTAATATCACACTACTAACCAGAGCATACAAAACATTTGCTAGACCAATACTCGAATACAGTTCATCAGTCTGGAACCCACATTACGTATCTGATATTAGCACAATTGAGAAAGTCCAGAAATATTTCACAAGAAGAGTTCTCCACTCCTCTACTCGTTGTAGAATACCTTATGCCACCAGACTTGAAATTCTAGAACTAGAAAACCTTGAATTACGCCGTCTTCGGTCTGATTTAAGCATGGTATATAAAATCATACATTGCAATGTCCTACCTGTCAATGAATACTTCAGCTTCAACCATAACAACACAAGAGCACACAATAGATACAAACTCAAAGTTAACCGCACCAAACTTGATTGCAGGAAATACGACTTCAGCAATAGAGTGGTCAATGTCTGGAATGCTCTACCCGACTCTGTAGTTTCTTCCCCAAACCCCAAAAACTTTAACCGTAGACTGTCTACTATTGACCTCACCCCTTTCCTAAGAGGTCTGTAGGGGGCGTGCATAAGCGCACCAACGTGCCTACCGTCCTTGTCCTATTGTTTCTCTTATTCTTCTTTTATTTTTCTTATATGTACCCATTTAATGTATTCACAACTATGTATACACTTATTATCTTGTAAACAACTGGCAAATCAAATAAATAAATAAATAAAATAAATAAATATGCTCCCTTTTGTGTAAAAAAAGATGAACAAAGGATGTGTTCCATATTAACTCTACGACACTCTGCTGGTACATGAATTAAAATTAGTTTCATGTTTATTTTTAACTGTCAGCTTAACACAAAAATGGAAAATGCTTAAAATATAACTTAATGGCCCTGACACAAGAACGGAAAGAAATATTCTATTGGAACAAGAATTTTAAGACATGATCTGTATCTACCAAGTGTTCTGATGTCTTCTTTGGAATGGTTAATTCAAATAAATTTGTGGTAAAAAAAGCTACTTAATAGCTTGATGCAAATAATATTTCCTAAACACCCTGCAAGAACATGAAACTTGGTACATTTTTCAAAAGAAAAGATGGTGGCTCAATGGAAAGACACGTATCTTTATTCAATCCTTGCCACCTCCAACTAGGGCCGAGCAAGATTTTCATTTGTCATAGCTATTCGGTCTCTCCTTCCTAAATGAAAAAAAAAGATGGAACTCTAGGAATTTGCTTATGAGCCCAGTGAGATCTTGTAGCCCACCCAATGAGTGCAGATTTAGATATCATTTCACATCTCTGTACTAAATTTTCACATCAATAAAAAGCAACAGACGCATTCTATGCATTAGCCAAGAAATTCAAGGAAACACTGGCTGTACTTTTAACAATGATTAACTTGGAAGATTCAGCTTAACTATCTTAATAAGATTATTAAACCGTGTTGACAAGTACAGGGGGGTTTCTTTGCTCAACTTTATGTTGTGTGTCAGTTTAGGCCTTTCCTGGTTAGGGAGACTCTCCGCTTGGTCTTTTCCCTTTTCGACTGTTGCAACGTGGTCTACGTGGGACTACCCTTGAAAAATACCCAGAAGGTATCGAATGTGGCCATGTAAACAATCTTGTATGCCCCAAGGATGGAATATGTTACACCTCCGTTGTGTAAGTTGCACTGAGGGCCGGTCTGCTTCTGGGTCCAATTCAAGGTATTGGTTATGACTTTTAAAGCCTTACATGGCATGGGAATAGGCTACCTGCAGGATGGTCTTCACCCCACTGCATCAACCTGCTCAGGCAGGGGTGGTATGTTCCAAACCCCATCAGTCTAATTAGCAGGATCCAGGAAGAGAATGCAATTGCCCCTCCCTTTGAAACATTCTCTCTCCAGAGGCACAATAGTCTCTTGGACTTTTAAAAATGTCTAAAAACCTGGCTCTGCTATCTTGTTTGGTGCCCACACAAAGGAGCACCTGGCCTTGGGGCTGATTAGTACCTGGAAGGTCAGCCTCCCACCTTTTAATTAATTTTTAATATTAAATTTAAACATCTTTGGCTCTTATATAAAGTTTTTACATTTTAATATTTTACTTGTTACACATTTTATTTCTACATATTTGCCTAGTGACTCTCTGTGAGGGAGATGGGCAATTTCTAAATTTTGATAAATAAACAAATAAAATAAAAATATTTGGATACTCACTAAAAAGTGTATTTTAGGATTGCAGTTAGGTTTGTTTGAATTTCTCTTCATCTCTCTTAATGAGCTTTATGAATTTGTTAGGGATCTGACCCCAAATGCCCTTGGTTTAATTCAATATCCAGGCAAGATCAATGCAAGGAAGAAACACATTATAATATTACATGATGAATTAAGTAGATTGTTTGTAAGTCCTTGTTCTTATTTGCTCCAAATTACGGAATAATTCCAACCAGCCCATGTGTGAGGAGGGGATATTTAATCCTTTCCTTTCAGGCGCTTCCTTTTCAAAATTTCACTTTCCATCTTTTATAATGATCAGAGCCAGAAAAAAAATAATGTAGACAATTCTCAATGGATTCTTAGAAGTAAGGGCATATAATTCAGCACATAGAGAAACATGCAGAGAAAAGGTTTTCTGCAATTGTCCAATATTGTTGAGAATAAGAAGTCTGGGTTTTGGAAGAAAAAGAATAGATAGCAAATAGTAGGAAGTGAAGTTTCAGTGTTCTACAAATTTCTACTTTTGTAGATATCGATTGATAACACCTGCAGTGATAACCTTAGAATAAATTGGAAAATTGATGTGAATTAGCTTATTTAAAAATAAAATATACTTCGTTTGTTCTATACAATCGGTTTGATCTTTTTAAGTTCTTATGGAAATCTAATGAGTTTAAAAAGTTTAAGACAAATTAAAGTAATACTGAAATAAAAAGAATAGTCAGCCTTAAGCTAGCTAATACGCTTACAGTACACACATCTAACTTTTTTATATTAAAAAAAAGTCTACTTACATTTTCCAGTCTTTTGGATAGCTCTTTCTTTTCTTTTTTCTTTTCTCTTAATTCATTTTCTAGATCCAATATTTTCAACTGAAAAGATTGCTCCTTAGAATTGATTTTTCCTAGTTCCTCTGTTAACTGTAAGAATTAAACATTTTAAGTTTCACTTGAATTACATAGCTTTTCAACTTCAACAGTAAACTATTTTATGTTTCTGTGAGTGGTCACCAACATGCTTGTCTGTTATAGAAATCCATATTTTAATAGAAAAACCACGTAGAAAAAATATATTGAAATTATATAGTTACGATTTTTTTTACATTAACTTTCAAGTATAGTATGAATATTTTCAAAAAACAACCTGTCATTTTCAAATAATCACTCAAATGGAAATGATAGTATTTTTCTAATTTTGTCTGCCAACTTCTTGGCTCAAACTAAAATATCAAATTTTACTTTTGTTAAAGCTACATCTATCTTTGAAACCAAGTATTGGCTGAACCCTTTTCCACTTAGAGAAACTAATTGAACATTTTTTTCCTAGTGAGGAAGGTTATGATCCAGAAGAAAGTTTTGGTTCAATCCTTGCTATTAGTTATATTATGGGGGGGGGACTCCCTTTGTGGATCCCTTTTAAACAATTTGATTTTTTTAACCCAATGAGTAATTTTATCTTATGTCCTTTGACATTTTTTTATGTTCTATTTGTTTATCAGGATGGGTTTTTTTTTTCAAAAGGAGGATTTAAAATTTATTTTTCTCCATGCTGTTCTTTTTTCATGGATTAAGTAAATTTTAAGGAGATTTTCAGTATGTTTCATCCCAAACTGTAAGAGTTATAGAACCTGGGGGTGGGGTTAAAAGAGAGATCAGCCTAGAATCCCTACATCGTTACAAACAGATTAAATCCAACACCCTTTGAATTCTGTGGACCCTAATCTAACTCCAAGCAGATGCTGTTAGTTGAGAAGATTCTAAACTGTTAAGTATCAAATAAACCAGTAATAAATCAGTTTAAATCAACCTTCAGGTGTGGACCTGGTCTTCCTCACCTGAATAAACTATCTAATACATTATATAAGAACATGCATGGAGATCAAATCAAAAGAAAATCGAAAGAATTTATCTAACATGGAAAGGATAGATACAGACAGACAGACAGAGGCATGTCTTAGACTTACTAAAGATTAGGCACACTGCCGTTTCTTTTAGTTGTCTAAAGATCAATGTGAGTAAGAACCATTAGGTTACAGATAAACCGAGCAATTTATTTCAAGCATAATTCTATTTCATGCATCTTTTACACTCCATCTTTACATTTCACTATAATGTTAATAGGTAAAGAATTTAAAATTGAATGTGTCTTTACACATTCCTGAATGCATTTTCATTTCACAAAAAGCACATTACTAAACATATTTATATATTTTAAAATCCATTTTGCTCCATTTTTAAAAACCAAATTTCATAGTAGCGGAAAATCCAAAAGATACTTATGTTACAATATGCGATTAGTTTAGAGGAACAATTAGGATAGGTTTTGATCTAGGACCTTTGAACAGGAAGGCAGAAAGGAAATTAAAAAGGAAATTCTTTCACAATATAACAATTGTTCTGTATATATAAGTCTCCTTTAAAATATATATCATTCACCCCAAATTTTAAACTGATTGGGAAGCATTATATATGTGATCTTTGCAGTTATGCATATAATCCTCAACTTACAACAGTTTGTTTGTTTGTTTATTTAATTTATATTGCCCCCTATTCGCCCATGGCGACTCAAGGCGGCTTACACAATGTAATGACCATTCAAACTTACAATGGCACTAAAAAAAGTAACTTATGACTGTTTTTCACTTTACGATCACTGTAGTATCCCCATGGTTATGTGATAAAAATTCAGACGCTTGGCAACTGACTCATACTTATGATGGTTGCAGTGTCCCGGGGTCATGTGATCCCCTTTTGTGACCTTCTGACAAGCAAAGTCAATAGGAAAGCCAGGTTCACTTAACAACCACGTTACTAACTTAACACCTGAAGTGATTCACTTAACAACTGTGGCAAGAAAGGTCGTAATATGGGACAAAACTCACAAGTGTCTCACTTAGCAACAGAAATTTTGGCTCAATTGTGATTGTAAGTTGAGAACTATCTGTATAGAGACATGTCGTTCTTAATTTTATTAACAAAACATTCATCCGTCAATATTAATTTTACCTGTTTCCTTCCATCTTCCAAAGCAGCTTCTAGCTGTCTTGCTAAAGCATCATATTCTGTAAGTTTCTGTTTAAACTGCAATTCGGTTTTCTGAAGGCTGTCTTCTTGATTCACCAACTGATTTTCCAGTTCTTTGTTTTGCAATTCAATTTCTTCTAGCTTTCTTTTAAGTCAAATATATATATAAGCATAAGAATACCACACAGAGAAATAAGTAGGAATAAGTAGCTTTGAAGAAAAGCAAACATCACACTTACCTTTTAACTTCCTCATATTTTAGCTGAATGTTGTAATTTTCCTCCTCCAAAGAAAGTTGTTTCAAAAATTCATCGCTATGATTTATCTGTTTAAAAAAGGGGGAGAATTGTTCGCATATCCAACAAAGCTATATAGAAATGAACTGCTGTGAAACTAGCTGTAATATTGGCAGATAAACCCACTGTAAATACAAATTAGTTGGACTGTACTTTGCAAGAGTAATATACAAAAACCCAAGATTGTGGAAGATCCAGTTCAGGGAGAATCACAATGGCAATAGCACTTAGACTTCTATACTGCTTCACAGTGCTTAACAGCCCTTTCTGAGCAGTTTAGAGTTAGCATATTGCTCCCAACAATTGGGCTTCTCATTTTATCGACCTCAAAAGATGGAAAGGTAAGCCAGTCAGATTTGAACTGCTGGAAATCACCAGAATTAGTCTGCAATACTGCATTCTAACCACTGCGTCCCCACAGCTATTTTCAAGAATTGCTTTCCCATCAGCCCTACACACAAGAAGGTATGGACATCAAGATCAATTCATTAGATCCTGCTTTGGTTCTTCTCACCTTCTGAATTAAACTTAACAATGACAGGAAATGGACTCATTTTCTATTATGTCAGCAAGTGTTCAGCTGAGTCCATCTTCTTTGGGATGGTTAAGCAGACATATTTACATTGTCCTGGTTTTAAAATATATATGATTGTGCTTTTGTGATGCCATTTTTTCACTGCACTGCTGTGTGATACTCACACTCCAATGCTTTATTTACTATGCCAATTAGTTTTGTGACTTTAGTCATTTTGATGTAAGAGCGCATTTGCTGGAAAGGGACTTACAAACATGCTAAATAAACAACAAAAAAAACCATCCCCTTTGAATTTTAAAAGTTTTATGTATTGCTATGAAGCATGCAACCATGCATTTGGAAACATGTTTGTTTGGATAGTGACTTATTGAAACAAGCTTCAATAGAGAGATAAAGTTAATTTCAGCAAAACTGAGGTTTGGTAATCACTGTATGTTGGGACATTTTCAGACAGCTGTTGAAAATTAGGGCTCCTGAATTAGGTATGTGGATGGAAGCATTGCTTGCACTGAAACTCTCAGCATTACTCACTTCACAGGGTTTTTGTTGGGGAGAAATAGAACGGGGAAGAAGTATTAAATATGCCTGCCACCTTTATAAAGGTGGGATAATAATAAAATAAGAAATACATTATTCTTCCACTGTATTATAACAATTTTTTTATTTGCCATCTCTCATGTTTATCCAAAGAATTTTCAAAATAGATAGCAATTATTTTACATAACCCTATGCCTCCCTTGCACCCCTGTGCAGCCTCTTGACCAGTGCCACATCCCCATAAATCCTCCATGACCCAACCCTTCCCAATCCACACCCCCATTCCTCCCCAATCACATTTTAAGTCTTCACCATTTAGCAAGAGAAAATTTCAGTTCCAATTGCCATAATAAGTTCAGGACTATCTGTATGTAATATTTTTAAATGCCTAGTGGAATGCAATGTATTTGTTCAATTGTTACTACTGAAAAAACACTCATTTGTGTCCCAACTACCTTTCCTACCCAGGAGCAACTAATTTCTGAATAATACTGGTCAAGTAGGTGTTCTATACAATTGGGCCCATTTCATGCCCAAATCCCCACTTTCAAATGAATTGTATAGAACACCTACTTTAAAAACAACAGAAAAGAATAATTTGGAACATTAATTCCTTGAAAAACTGGAGTTAGCTTTAAGAAAAGAAACTCCCTCATTTTTTAAAAAAAGTTGATGATAGTCAATGTTCAGGATGAGAGCCGGGTTGCCAGTTTTTTAAAAAAATATTTTTCGGTGCTGGTTTAAATATCAAGCAGGAAAGTTTTATTCTCGAAGCACCTGAGCCTGCAGCTCCCTAATGGCTTTGGATTTTTCTACGCAGCTCTTTTGGCAGGAGAGAAGACTTCCCTGATCCTTCTGCAGTTTCTCTTCAGCTGCTTTCTGTAAGCCACGGGCATATTCTACCTCCTTCTGGTGAGCCTCCGTTTGGCTCTTCATCTGCGTAATGGCATCGGGAGTGGAGGGAAAAAACAGAGTTCAGTCACTTTGTTCACCTTCCTACAGTCAAACCATATACCAAAGAATGGAACACATAGAATATATTACAGATTGGAACCACATACCGCATCCCTTTCTAAATCTCTGCCTTCTGTTATAGTTCTGCTGTCATGCATGATCTTTTCATATCTTGTTCTCATTTCTTCAGCTTTCACTTCTAATTTTGCCACCTAAGACAACATTTTATTTATTTTATATTTATATTTATTTATTTATATATATACACACACACACATTATTTGACTAGATTTTGAATCATGTCAGTCAGTGGTGAACCTAGCATACTTGACAATGATACCCAAAGCAGATCATTCTTTAGCATCTCCTTACTTTGTTGTTAAAAGTCTAACAGTGGTTAAAAAATCAGACTAGAATACAGGAGGTTGTGAGTTCTAGCCTCGCTGTAGCCATTGGGCTAGTCACTTCTCAACCCTAGGAAGAAGGAACTGGCAAGCTATTTCCAAAAAAAGTGATGTTTGAGAACTTCCACGAGAAGAACAGTGAAATAATTATTTCTCCAAAGTAGTGGAGATGGCAACACAGCAAAGAACAATAAGCATGGTTCAACTGAACTTTTCTGGACTTTGTCTGGAGATTGTCCACTTGTGCTCTGGATGGCTGTTGTTAACCACCAAGAGACGAGGGAAGCCATCAAAAGCTCTCAACAGGGATGGGTTCATCTAATCTCACTTTTTAAACTCTTTGGATTTATAATTATTTTAAACTTTAAAAAAAAATTCCATACGAGTTTAAAAAACCACCTGGTGTGTAAATTAACTTACAGCTGAAAGAATTTTAAAAATAAATGGCAAAAGCTAAGTAAGAATTTAACTGAAGAAACTGTTAAAAAAAATTAAAGGAACAGACAAAATTAGATTAAGACTTTTGCTAAGAAGTTTGAAAAACTGAGGAAACAAAATAATATCTATGTGGAAATATAATTTTTTAATTTATTAGGAATGAAATAACTGGCTGAATTTGAAAATTAAAAAAAAGCATAGAAACCCAGACTTTGTGATTATAAAAATGGAACACTAGAGTAAGGTTCCAGGGAAGAAAAATGCAATTTACAATATGACAGACAAAGGCATGACACTAGAGACATTTCAGAGGATTTTGAAGAACTGAGACAGAAACTTATAGCTAAACTGACGGCAATGAACTTCCAAATGCATTATTTGGAAAATATTCTAAAGACAAAATGAAAATTATGAAAGAAAGCAAGGTGCATATGTAGTCACCCATTTATTTTGCTCAGCTGGTGTTAAAAAAAGAGAGAACAATGACTTCATATTGTGTTATCACTTCCTATACATGAAACACAGAACTCTTGTGCCATTTTCAATTTTTTCCTGTTGCAATGCAGCCAACTTGAAAGATTTTGATGTGTATTGAGATTGCTTTGTTTTGATTTCAAAATGAAGTGTGTTTTTTATGTGATGCATAGCTCCAATAGATGTAAGGCTCTAAACCAGAATCCCCTAAAGTGATTCCCAAAGGTTACTGTTGTTGTTGTTGTTGTTGTTATTTGTAGCACTATTTATTTTATTTTATTTATTTTGTCAAGCGATTATAACAGGTATAGGTATAAACATAGTTACGAAATACGTGAAATGGATGCATATAAGAAAAATAAAAAGAAACAATAGGACAGGGACGGTAGGCACGTTGGTGCGCTTATGCACGCCCCCTACAGACCTCTTAGGAAAGGGGTGAAGTCAATAGTAGACAGTCTAAGGTTAAAGTTTTGGGGGGTTTGGGGAAGAAACCACAGAGTCAATACATGTTTTGGGATTGTTGAACAATCTGAAACTTTATGGACTGAAAAATCCTGCTCTAAACTGAGGCAGAATTTCTAGAATAATAGGAAAATCATACATTCAATTCATATTATGTATAAGGAGAAAATATTTTCCAAATTAGGCTCATGGAAAACTTACCTCAATTTTATACTGTTCAACCAGTTCTTCTTGCTGATGCACTTGTTTATGTAAATTTTCAAGTTCAGCTTCTTCAGTAATAAAATTTGCTTCCAAATCGGCTAGGGATGCCTACAATTGAGCATAACTTGTATAAGCACTGGTCGTGAAAAATATAATGGCTGAAAAAAACATCTGGGCTTTTTAAATAAAGGTTAGATAACATTCCGTATTATAAGCTGAACTTTAGATTTACTTCTGAATAAGTCCCCTATTGGACTGAAAATCTTTCTTAATATACATTTTGAGAACTAGAATGAACTTTGAAAGCTTTTCATCCAAAATGAAGACCTTCACAGAAGGATTAGGCGGGGTGGGAAACCCTCTCTATTTCCATTACTGTATTTGCAGCAAATCAAGACAGTCCTCTAAAGTTAAAGACAAATTATTTAGGGAAGCAACCCCTGGAATTTCACTGAGGAAGTTGGGCTGTGTAATGTTTAAGTATAAATAAAAGTTTAGATAACTTACCTTTAGCCTTGAATTTTCGGTAGAAATCTTTTTATTTTCAGAAGCAACAAAATTAATCTTTTGGATAATCTTGTTCACTGACTTTCTTTCATCCTCTTCTATTCTGCTTAGATCCATTACAAGGTCTGTGGTTTGCCTTTCAAGTTTGAAATACAAGTCTTTAGCAATTAATATGTGTAATAGTATGCTGTAATACTATTTAATTATAAACGCATTGTAATAATTATAATTGGTTTAAATATAATCTCCATTAGCAATTTTTTAGATGTTTAGATGTATATATTTTTATACAGAAAACTGTGTTTCAATAAATAAAATCTACTTATTCTAACGGATGACATGAAAAGAAAAACATAATAAAATTAATTGATTGGGAATTTAAGACTTATTCAAGAGTAGCAATGTCTTATCTTATGGCCATCTACTTTGTGGTACATTGTGCTATATTTCTCTAATGTACGTACAAAAGCAGTCAACTTAATAAAAACTGCAGTAGCACCCAGTTTGTATGGCTCCAAAACACTGCATTATAAATCTGCACTAGAAATGAGGTATATGGTTTTATCTATGCTATTCCTAGTAATTAAACAGAATAATTATGACATATTCCACCATTTATCACACTCAGTAAGTTCCATACATCTCACAATCCACTTACTGCAACAGCTGGAATGTTTTATAGACCCCAGAAACTGAAGTGCTCCTTGATGTACACAATATAGTAGACCCATGACTGACTATGGTGGGAAAAAAGGTGTCTGGCAATATATTTTCTACTAACAAGTTTAACAAGGTTTGTGCTTCAGCTGACTTCATCGGTGTTTGCAGTTTGATGGAAAAATAACTAATCCCTAACAGGAGAATTAACTCATTGCACTTAGTATAGGGATGTCAAACTCACGTTGTCATGGCTTTGCTAAATCGGGCATGGGCGTGCCAGCACGTGACACATACAGTCCGTGGGCCAGAAGTTTGACAGCCATGACTTAGTAGCTTTCCTCTCTGCAATTAAGATGAAGTGGAAATGCTCTTCTCTACTCCAGCATTGAAATGCATATAAATTACTTTCCGTGAAGCAGTCGAATGATGGAATGATGTGGCAAACACCCTATTATACTGGCTACAGAAGAAATGCTGCAAAGAAGCAGCTAAAAAGAAGAAAATTATTCTGTCTCTCTTTACCAGCTTCTTTCAATATTGGCCATGGTCAAAGAGAAACTTGTTCTTTCAACAGCCACTATGGAAACCAAGTCATCTAACAGAAGAAACATTCAACCTATTCTTCCTCTAAAGGCCTGTTCATTTGTCTAGTCACCAATGTTGACCAAATGAGTATTTATATCCTAAATGGATTTCTTGCAAATGAACCACAGTAGGAATAAATCTACCATAACAGAAGCAGGGCAGCAGCTAACTAATCATAAAGCTTTTGTATCCTCTTCTCAGGCAGTGTAATTGTTGCCCCACTAAAAAGTCTAACATAGACATTTTCCAAACTAGTTCACTGCTTAGGAAAAATGACCACAACTCAATGACCCACAGTAAGTCTGTTTTATTTCTAAAAACCATTGAAGCCACAGGAAAATGGCTGAAATCCAAAAATCTCTCTATTGTAAAGTTGGGGGTTGTTGTTTATTTAGTTCTTTTTATTCTGTTGATTCCTAACAAACGTCCAAGTAAAATATCCTAAGAAGAATGGAAATTATAAACATGACATACATTACATGAAAAATGAAAACAGGCTATGTTATACCCTTTAAAAAAGAGAATTATTTAGCCACAGGCATTTACTTACTTTTTTAGAGTTTCAACCTGGACTTCTAACTTGATTTTTTCCTCTATTATGATCTCGTGATGACTTTTCCAGATATTAGAAGCTGAAAATACCTCAGACAACTGGATTTCCTGGAGATAATACAAAATTTGGACTTTGTGTTTATAAGGACCCCTTTTTCAAATTCCATAAGCTTAGGAGAAATTGTTCTTCAAAGCAGTTTTTGAAGGTATTGCAGTAGAACACAGTGTAACATTTGAAACCTCATCATAAATACATCACTTAAAAAGTAAAAAACCAACCTGTAAAACACTAAGTGTAAACTGTAAAATAACCTAAGAACATCACAGTGGAATTTTCCAAAATACTAGGAATGTTTTTCATCAATGTATTGTTTTGTTCAGAAATGTATTTTTTTTAAGGAAAGACAAAGAAATGACCACAACCTTTAATTGTTATCCCAGATAATTTCTTCTTCATTATCCACCATGTTTTACAGGCATGAATAAGAGAAGTTTACTCAGAAATGTTTCTATTTCAACTGCCTGGGATGTCTGATTGGCAAATGCTAATGAGATTGCTATAAACAAGAAACCCAATAAGATCATTATTGGAATTGTAGGTTTTTTTAAAAAACTGATTGGAACCTGGAAAGCATTTTGCATTAGAACTGCACTTCACCAGTTGCCACAGGTAACTGAAAGTTCCACTTAAAGGAATAAATAGGCTGAAAAAGAAGCAATGCTTTATTCTCCTTTTTTGCCTTGTCTAGAGTCAAATTGAGCAGACTATTGGGAAAATCCTGCTCTTTGGGTAAAGGGCAGAAATCCACGTATTACTAGTAGTACAAAGCTCCTAGTTCCTTATCTTCCAGGATAGAAACTTTAGAAATGCTTATTTACAAGTTTGCAGTAGAATATGGTACTGCTAGCAACAAACACACACAAACACACCTAATCTAAACAACAACAAGGAAAGCTTATTGTTAAAACACACACACATACTATAGCTACAATATTCACCTATCACTGATGTTACCTAGTTTGATTTAAAAAAAAAGCTTAGAGAGCATCAAGGACCCCTCATTTCAGCCCTGAGCTAAAAATATTTTCCTTTTATCTGTACAACTTTCCATTGGATAGCTTTATAAACAGTGCACAACATTCAACTATGTCAACTAAATAAAAAACAAAACAACTTAAAGCCGTAGATGGAAGAAACAAAAACAAGCACTTTGAATCTTGTGCCAGTGTAAACACCTCTTTGCTATTCATTAAAAAGTGCCTGAAAAAAGTGGCATTAATATATGTGAGTTATATTAAAGATGTTTTATTAAACATAGTTAATTAAAGCAGCAGCCACCTTCTTTCTGCCTCCCGTGGAAGCATGTCAAAATTAATTTGCCTACAGAATCTGAAAATTTTCCAAATCTTTTTCAAAATGTGCAAGTCTTATAAAATAGGGAAGCCAAAGGCAGCATGCACAAGAAGGCAATCCTTAACAACAGAAATTTTGGGCTCAATTGTGGTCATAAGTCAAAGACTACCTGTAAGTCATCCCAATACCCTTACATGTATTTCATCATAAAATAATGTAAATATGCATGCGTGCATATGAAGTTGAATTTCTAAGTATTAAATCACTAGCTAATGATTAGTTTGCTTTCAGGAAGGTGTCAGCAATATTTTTTAACCAACAGGCACGTCTGGAATTTTGAAGGAGTGTTGAGGGCACTCTCATAAAGCAGCTACTATGGAGCTATCAGCAGTCCTATCACCCTTCTATCCACTCACCTTGCCTTCTACAATTACTAACCTTTTCCTTAATTTTTGAAAAGAGGTTTTCAACAACCACTTTCATGTTTTCAGCTCTTTGTTTCTGAACAACAACTGCTCTTTTCAGGGCATTCCTCCGTTCCACTTTTCTTTTCTTTTCAGCCAAAATGTTCTGCTTATATTCACCAACTTGTCTCTTCCATTCAGCAATATTCTTCTCCATCGTCTGCAAGAAATTTTTTTTAAAGGTGTTCTGAGTACAGGAAAATTAATGTGAACGTTGACTAGATGAAGGAATTGACATATAATCTATCTTAACCAGAGTCTAAATATATTTGTCTTTTTATTTTTTTCTAAATATCCTCCCTTTATTATCTTTATAAATAACTCAAGATGATGAGCATATTTAACACTCCTTCCTTCTATTTTCCCCACTAGAACACTGTGAGCTGAGTTGAGCTGAGAGAGTGACTAAATGTGAATAAGTTCCATTACTGGATCAAGGCTACTGAAAATGTACCACATACGATAAAGTATTTTGAATATCTAGATGACATAAGTACTGAAAATCTGAACACTAATGGAGGCTGACTCATGCATAAATCGTCAACTCTATATTCAACGATAAACAGCAAGCCTGAGAAAGGTAGGAAATATTCTGCTACTGCTTTCTGGAAGAATATTATTTGTCTTGTACACAATCGTCACCCCATTTATTAAAAGTGTAAATCCTATGCACATCTATTCAGAAATAAACTTTTTTTTGCATTCAAAGGGGATTACTTTGTATTGTTATATGGATCTATACTCTAGCTTTAATTTATTGATAACCCTATAAACAAGGATAATAGGTTTTTGAATCCAGTACTGGAAGGGAGTCATTCTGATCAGATCAAATCAGTCTGGTTTATGTTCTTTGTGGATCATAAAGGCAGCTCAAAGTACTGAAAACATGGATATTTGATCCAGATTATAAAATTAAACTGGGCACGGGAAAGAAAAGAAGGTTGGACAAATGTGAATAGGTCCAGTGTAATATGCCACACTGGTATAGTCATACTGGCAGTGAATGAAAGCAGGGGACCAAAGGAAGAGAAGCCACTAGTAAGATGACAGGGGAGGGGAAAGGAGGAGTAGAGGCTGCAAATTTCATTTCTGCTGAACCTTGCCTAACTGGAACAATACAGCAGAAATTCCACAATGTTTATGCTTATTTTGGGTTCAAAAAAACCTCCACCCTAGTCGAGAAGACTTTTTACAAGTTTGTCTATCATAGAATCCACTAGGTAACCATGTAGTCATATACTTCAATTAAAGTAGTGTCTATTTGCAGAGGACAACAACATTGTCTTTAAAAAGGCAATGTACAAGTGCAATCATTATATACAACAGCTTCAAGTAACAAATTCAGATGAGGAGTGCAAAAATGTTATTTTAATTGGATCAGACAATCTAAAGAAGTTGCTTGGGAAAATGTTTTAAGCTACTATTCCAATATAAACTTTCCAGTCCCACACTTCCATTTTTGTAGCCACCAAGTCAGGTTAGAGAAGGTCTGTGTAAGCTGAAGCCTGCCAAGTCAAATGCAGCCCATCTGCAATGTATGATGACCTTCCAAAAATGCAAAGAAAAAGTTTTTGCATCTGCTTGGAAATATATGGAAGAAAATTGTGAATTATTCACATATTAAAACACAAGGTTAGTTGGGCATAAATGGGTATCCCAATTACCCAGTTTACTGACAAATGTCAGTAAGAAACGATCTATATCACTGTTCTTCCTGTTACCGCTAGATGTCACCATTACTTCTCTGTAATTTTGACAAAAAATTAGGCATAAAACAACTTTATGGCTAGAATGTTCACATTATTTACAACATCTGTCAATTGTGGTTACATTAAGAGTATAATCTTTTACAATGTAAATTAAAAATAAACAATGAGGTTATTTTCTATTTTTCTAAAAAAAAAGCCTAAATGTAAATACATGGAAAAAATACAAATTTAAATATAATTTTTAAATGAAATATGTCAAAAATCATAAAGAAATCAAGTTTTCAGAATTTCTTCCATTTAGTCATGGGAAAGATTCTAACATTTTCCCCAGAAAATTCATTTAAATCCCTGGTTTGTAATCTAAACTTGGCTACTAGCCTTCATAAGCTATGACATTTAACTATTTTCTGGCTCCAAGATAAATAGGCTTTTTCAAATCATTGATGGAATGAAAAGGTCTATTAGCAGAGACTAGATTTTTTTTTTTGTGACTGCCAAATAGGCAAGTATTTTTTAAAGAAAGCAGCCCATTCATCTGTATTTTGCATAAAAGTTTACATAACTGAAGTTTAATAACTATAACTATTTTCTCAAGTCAGAGATGTTCACCTGTTTATTAAGAAAACAAAAATTATAAAAAACTAACCTGAAATTTTGCTCTTAGTTGATTATTTTCTTCCTCTTTTTTCTCTACCTGAGATTGTAGATGAATTTGTACTGTTTGTATTGCTTCAGAATGGCGGTATGTTTTTTGTACATTAGCCTAAAATATAAAAGAAATGCCCCAATAAATTCCAAGAAGCTGTATAAAAGCAAATTTTAGGTTTTTTTTCCAAGTACTGAATTAATAACAGCTGCATGTTCAGTGCGAAATATGCTGAAGTTTTAATTCAATGTGTATGTGCTCACTATCCCTGTACTAATCCAGTTTAAATGCTTATATTACATGCAGAATTATATGAATAATGAAGCAAGTGTTCCAATTATTTGAAACCAGAGATATATTAATTTTCAAACTATTTTTTTAAAAGACAAAAAATTATAAGTTTTATAATATAGAAATAACAGGCAAATATAGAAAAATATATAACAAATTAAAAAATCATACGATTAATATATTTTAATGCATCATTAATATCTTATATTATGAGAGTTAATATCCATTCAAGCATATCTCTATTAAACTTTAAAGGTATTTGGTAGACAGAAATGGAGTTATTAAAAAGAGTGATTATGGATGATTAAACAATGCCTAAATCCTGTAAATTATATGTAGATTATATGGTATGAAAAATCAATATATATATAAAGTCACACTCCAAATTTTATGTACAAAACTATAGTCTAAAAATGGTTTCCTGATAGAATTGAATTCAACATCAGATTTACTTTTTTAACATGAAGTTGTTCCAGATAATTTAGGCAGTCTTCCACAGAGCGGGTGAAACATCTTTTTCAACAAAAAATCCTTGCAGCCATTAATTAATTAATTAATTAATTAATTAATTAATTAATGTGTGTGTGTGTGTGTATATATATATATATAATCAGTATATTCTGAATGAATCTGTGAATTAATGAAATAAAATATCCCAGGAAGAAACAGGATTATAATGTATTGTTGAGGTTTACCATGTGGCCAACATATCTAGAAACAGGGTGAATTCTTTTCTAAATTACTATTTTCTTAAATGCCCTACTTTTTCCATCAATAAATGGCTTCATACTTTTTACAGTGACTTATGGTTGAAAGGTTTCAACCCTCATCTTCCATGATGCATTGCTGGAATTTTTCTTTTAGAAGGAAAAAAAAAAGCACAGGGAAAAGTACAAAGCTCAGGAAAAGAAAAATAGTAATTAAAAAGGAAAGAAGCCTTCCTTGTTTTGAGCCATTTATTTGCAAGAGAGGAGTCATATCTGTTAGCAAGTATAGTGTTTATGATAGAGATGGCTAGAAAATGCATTAGGGATCATGGTAAACTTTGATTTTACTGAAGAGGAATTTTTGCTTCTATGATGTAGTCAGTTAACCACTTCACAAACTGATGTGCAGTTTCTGAAATGAATAAAAGTACTAGATGTAACATAATGTGGAAAATCCCAGAAATTGTTGATACCCCAGTCAGATAAACCCAATTTTTATTTTTATGATTTTAGTCCATTTTTACTTCCAACTGAATTCTCAAAGCAGCTAATAATCATTTATGAAAATAAATGCAGGAGCAGAGAAATAAAGGCTTTTTTAAACTTTAAAACATCACAGGAAATGTTAGTAAAAATGTAGAGTACAAGAAAAAATACATCAATTGTTTATAAGCATTAAATCAGCATAAATCCTTACTTGATAAATTTTAAATAAATAATGGATAGATAATAAAATACAGCAGTATATGTATTCAAAGATAACTCTTGGGTCTCCATACAGCTGGAAATTCAATTCAGTATAGTTTATTTCCAGATATGAGATTGAAATTTAAAACTGGCAAATACATCCTGAAGCCAAAAGATTCCAAAAGCAATGGGATTATCATATAACCAGGCACATCTTCTTATAGGAATACAAACATTTTTTAAAAATGCCTTGAAGATACATGTTAACTTACTTTTTCTTGCTGAAGCTGAACTGAAAGATCTAAAATATGCTTCTCTTTTTGAATCACTTCATTTCTGAGGCTCTTCAGACACAAGGAGAAAAAAGATCCAATATCAGGAAAAGTTTATGAGATTGTTATTTTTCGATGAATTCTACCCTTACTAGTAGGTATAATGTCTAGGGATCATTCGCATACCAAGTAGCCAACATTTTTTTCTTAAGTGTGCTTGATTCTCCCCTCCCAAGTACTGAAAATGGGCCAGTTTAGTGTAGTGGTTTAGGCACCAGACTAGAGACCAGGAGACCAGGCATGAAGTTAGCTGAGTGTCCTTGGGCCAGCCACACTTTCTCAGTCCTAGAAGGGAGGCTATGGCAAGCCACTTCTAAAAACCCTTGCAAAAAACCGAACCCTGCAGTGATTTGCCCAGGCAGTTGCCAATAGTCAAAACTGATTCAAAAACATGCACGTGCGTTCTGTTCATGTATTTTTGCTAACTAATTTACAATTATATGTAACACAGAGTTTGTAGAAGGAGAGTAATGTTAGTCTGTGGTGACAGAAAATCAGGAGTTTGGTGCTGATTAGCCAATTTAATTTTAAAAAATGACCTTTGCATCTGGTATATTGAGCTACAACTCATGCCTTTTAATAACATTGACTACTTGGAAAAAATACTATCAGAAGTAACAATCAAATCATAAAGTTTTTATCCTTTTTTTTCTTCTCTTAGCAGCTGCTGAGTATATCTTCAATGGAGATGTTACCTTTGATGAGAGGAAGATGTACCAGAAAAAAGAACTTACTTCAATATCCATTTTACTTTCTGATAAACTCTGATCCAAATCTTTTGTCTCTTTACTGACAATCTAAAAATAAGAGAAATTGAATCAAATTGTTTAATTGTCATTTAAAAACCCATACAACATAGTTTGATATGGCTCCTGAAATATCGAATTCTTCATCTTCCTAAAAGAGTAGGGAACATGCAATCCTTCAGATGCTCTGGACATTACAATTCCCAGCATAGCCAGTGATAAAGAACGCTGGATGTTGCAGTTTTGCTATATCTGGAAAGTGAATGATTACCCATTTCTAGTAAATATATAAATATGTGCTATATTTATACATAATTTAGAGAACAAAGAACAAAGCAAAACTTACTCCCATTACCAAATGCTAAATACAGCTACAAAACTCATAAAAACAAAAAATGTCTCAGTCACCCAGGTCACTGTTGTCCCAAAGGTGCTTTTTCAAGGAAAAGCAAAGTCCAGTTACCTTTTGAAAAAGCACCTTTGGGACAACTACCAAAAATCTAACCTCTAAGTTCTTTTGCATTCATTTTTGCTTATTCAGGCAATAAAGGATAACTTATTTATGAACTCTGCATTTGTTTTTGTTTTTTTGAGAGATTGGAGAAGCACACAATATTTAAAAGCAAAAATCTAATGCATGACACAATAAACTACTTATTTTGTCTACAAATAGCTGTTTTGCTAGAAGACGAATAGCCAGCGGGGGAAAAAAATCTTTGCTGAGGGGCCTAGTGTGAATAGATTTATTTCAAGAAAGCAAATATTTCTGCTTAATGTTCTGGATCATCTGGATGAGCCATCTGACAGATCTGCTGGGATGGAATTTTTATTTAAAAATCGATCTAATAAGTCATTCCTAAGTTACTCTGTCATCGAGGGGCTTTTTCAGATATGCAAAGCAACAGAAATTTAGGGACAGAGTACTAAACCTAAAAACATTACTCTGATAAGTAATAGACAGGTACAGAAAACTTTGTATCTATGTTACGTTTTTCTGTGAATGCACAATTTCCCCTTGAAATCCTAAAGAAAAAGTTACAAATGTTTAATTCTCTTTTAATTCATGCTATACTTGTTCACAATAATTTACATCATTCTAACTTCTTTTTCCTTGCTTGACCTTAATAGCCAGCTTAACAATTCCTTCATTTTTTGGATAGCTTCTAACTCATTTATCAGTAAGTCCTCTTGCATAGAAATTGTTATTTCATCAGAAGCAGAAATACAACAAGCCTTTAAAAATGGTTAAATGGATCTCCAAATTTTTTAATGTCAGTTTTACTCTTAACATTATTATTTTAAAACAATTTTAAAACATCTTGAAATACAGGTAATTACAGGTAATATTATTCAAATATAAGAACAGCTTGCTACAATGCATATGACTACTAGAGCATTAAAAAAACTTTTTAGCAAAATTAATCTTCAAATCAGATATGAACTGATAATCTGAAGCAATGTCAATAATGTTCAATATTTGTACTGACTTATCAGAAATTAATGAATCATAAACTTATCCAAATATTTTTAAACCCAACCCAAGCTTCTTCTTTTTTTGCAGTCTCTTGTGTTGAACTGAACACTGAAAGTTCTCTTGCCTTTCTAAATTTAGTCAGAGGATAGTAGACAAAGGAGGGAAAATCCATTTCCATGATCGCAATTCTCTTCATAATTCTTATGATCTGTAATTCACCTGATTTAGTAGTGTTTATAGATAACTATCTGAACTTACTTTTGTAATTCTAACAAGACTTTCTTTAAACGATGGCAAAAACATTTCTGCTGACTTAACTGCCAGCTCTGCCTCATGAAACATTTCCTGAAAAGCAACTTTATCTTTCATAGCATCTTCCCATGGCCTAATCATAAAAACAATGCAAACAGAAACGCATACTGTATTATAAAATATATAAAAACTGTTTATCCAACCCTTTATTTATATTAAAACATTGCTCATACATACTTAACCATGATTTATTGACTATATTGCAGCATATTAGATGGCAAGACAGGAGGAAAGCATTGAGGAAGAGCTAAAAGTGATCAGGTTACAGAGTAAAGACTGACAAACTTGAAGAAGCAGGCCAGGAAATGACTGGGGAGCATACTTTATTCTTCTCCAGACACCCTCCTTGACCGCATGAATATATAAGCACTTTGCAGTCTTGGTAAAAACTACTGTTTATAAGACCTGTCACTAGATTCATACAGAACACAAAGCTACAAGCGAATTGCAGTGATGTCTGAAACCAAAGTGTGTATGATTACTTAATTCTTTGGACTGTCACATAATCTTTTTTATTTAAAAATATAAAGATACTGTTTAAGTTATTCCAAGCATTTTAATTCTAAGCACTAAATAATTTAATTAGGTAATTTCACTAGGTAGTCTTTTACAAATCTTCCAACCATGATGGATATCTAGAAAATAGGAATAAATTAGTGGGATTCTTGATTCTCTCTGAATTAATATTCTTCTTTAAGACTTTTCATTATCAGATAGTATCACAATGCTCTGATGATGAGAGCTTTAATAACATGCATGCAACTTTCATTTTGTTATTTTCTATGTGATGTCATACAGGATGAAGTTGTATAATCTATGAAGAGCAGTGCTCTTAGGCTGCCTGTACTTTCTGAAATGAAAGCATTTGTTTATTTCTTTGTATCCTGCCTTTATAAATTACTCAAGGTGACGGACGTGCTTAATATTTCTTCCTCCTCCTATTTCCTATTTTTACCACAACAACCCTGTGTAGTGAGTTGGCTTGAAAAAGAGTGGCTGGCCTGAAGTCACTCTGCCAGCTTTCATGCCTAAGGCACCGTAAGGCAGGGCTAAAATTCACAGGCCCCTGACTTCTAGCCAGGCATCTTAACTACTACAACAGGGGTGTTAAATTCGTGGCCCGTGGGCCGGATGTGTCACATGCTGGCCACGTCCATGCCTGGTTTAGCAAAGAAGAAAAAGTTGAGATACATCACATGACAACGCCGTGACAACACAAGTTTGACACACCTGGTTTACAGTAATATTTATTTGAGCTTATTTGAAGGACTGCTTTTTCTATACATCCCAACAAGTCCATCAGAAGGGACGTACTGCAGGTTCTATCCACTAGATGTCACCTGATAGGACCAAGGAAGAGGGTCTCAAGGCCTCTGAGCGGAGGGCGCACCACCGCCCCATCTCGCCCGTCCCGTCAGGGAGGTGAAGCATGAGCGCGCATGCTAGGCAGGGGTGGGATTCAAATTTTTAACAACCGGTTCTGTGGGCATGGCTTAGGTGGTGGGCGTGGCTTGGTGGTCATGTGACTGGTGGACATGGCTTGGTGGTCATGTTATTGGGTGGGTATGGCCAACTCAACATCACTCACATCGAGGCATGCATCTCCTTGCCTGGCTCTCATGACTGTGGGGATGGTGCAACAGTTGTAAGTGTGAAAAATGATCATAAGTCACTTTTTTCAGTGCCATTGTAACTTTGAATGGTCACTCCACACAAGCAAAGTACCAGCAAAGAAGGAGAAAAAAACTCCAGAGACGTTCCTGAGACAGGAAGTCTAGTCCTGCCAAGAATGTAATAAGGGTTAACGGAGAGGCAGTTTCTGCAAGCAATACCAGAATGTTTCCTTCCTGCCTTCCTGACAGGATTAGGCCAGTAATTTCTTCTAACAACCGGTTCTCCGAACTGCTTAGAATGTTAACAACCGGTTCTAGCGAATAGGTGTGAACTGGTAGAATCCCACCCCTGATGCTAGGACCTGAAAGATGGTGAACTATGCCTGGGCAGGGCGAAGTCAGAGGAAACTCTGGTGGAGGTCCGTAGTGGTCCTGACATGCAAATTGGTCATCCAACCTGGGTATAGGGGCGAAAGACTAATTGAACCATCTAGTAGTCTTTTGTGCTGCTGCACCTGCCCTATGGAATATCATTCCCCCCACAAGATGGGCCCACCCCCGAGAGCCTGCTGGAAGGATCTGAAGATACAGCTATTTCATCTGGTCTGGGAATCAAATAACGATGTGGAGCCCATAAAAGAACTGCACTGTTATTGAATCAATTGTGCTCTCCTAGTGACTGTGACTATGTTTTAATTGTTCCAACTGATTTAATGTTTTGTCATACTTATACAGCTATAAGGGAATGATTTTTTTTGTCAAAATGAGTTTTAAAATCTAACAGTATTCACCAATAGTCTGTTTTAAAATTCAAAGGTATTATTTATATTGTTATAAATATATGTACACTTTACTGCTTTCAAGACAACTCTGGAGAAAAAAAATACCTACAGGATTTTCTAAAGCTTTGGGTCAACTTTTAATCCAGCTTTCCACAATCTATATATGGGCAGGTATTCTTGGTGTGATAAGTATAATAATAATGATAAAAACCAAATGCATTCTAAAGACAAATATCTGAGTTATAGGATATGCCCTAAAACCCCTTTTACCACCAATCTCAAAGCATACCATTTTGTTTCACTTGTGCTCAGACTTTCTTCCAAGGTGCTATTCTGGGGTTTCTCCTTAAGGGACAGCATCCTGTTCCAATGTTTATTCATAAACCTGTTGTTTGAGATCCAGTTTTCCTTCAGCGATTCAACCTCTTCACTTTCTGCGGGCTTATAAAATATTGATTTTACTTCACTCTTTATTTTTTTTCTATCCCCACAGCCGATTTCCTAAAGCAAATTTACATCAAAATTATGAGAGCCTGAGATGCTGATACTTCCTTCTCTTCCTCCTGACACAACTTATTATTAACTAATAATGTTTAACCGAAATCAATATTTAATAAAAGTATTTAACCAAGATCAGCAAATCACTAAAGACATATAGATTTACTGAACCTTTTACCTTGTCATAATAGTAGACTAGTTGTAAAATTGCTATAGCTACAAACTATATTATTATTATTATTATTATTATTATTATTATTATTATTATTATTATTATTATTATCAAGATTCTGTATTTTCTATGTCTGTATTGATAGGATAAAAGGAAGGAAATATGCATCTTCTATATCCTACTGGATTTTAATAAAATAAATAAACAAATCTTCAGACTTAGAAGACTGATGTCAGTCCTTCCAGGTAAGCCAGATAGGAAACACAACTAGATGAGCTAAATCTACTTTATTATAAGGCTACATTAGCAAAATTTTACAAGCCTGAAGATACAAACCTCCTTGGGATCACTTTTAGCTGTCTGATTAGTTAGGTCAGGTTCTTTCTAAGCTACTTTCTCTGACCATTAAGTAACTGCAGGCTCCTTCCTCTTGTCTGGTAGTTCTGTAGGTGGCATTTCTTGTTCTTGTCCCCCAATGTCATCCACAGATTATATTACACACTTCTGTCCTTATCTTTGACAGTATTAATTCAGTTTTTCTGCAATTGCCATATCCTTTTTGATTCTCTTTTTACTTTTTTGTAATTTAGTGGCATCGGCTGGTTTATTGCTTCAAATACATCTTTTAAAAAATCTTCATTATACCTAGTTTTTCTTTTTGTCATATTGTCCTTGTTGAGTCTTTGTTTACTTCTTTTTGAATGGGTTTCATTACTTGGAAGCCTGACAGTCCCATAATTAGCTTATAGTTTTGGAATTCTTTATTATCACATTAACATTCCCCCCTCCCCTTTTTTCCTTTCTTATGATACACTTTCCATTTTTAGAAGGTATCTTAACTGTCAAGCTTCCTAGTGAGTCATGCTGACTTCTTCCTGAACTTCCTGAATTGTCCCAGGAACTGATTAAATAGGTCCCATTTTGTTTATTTTACAGGAACACACCGCTGACAATATTTCCTATTGCTTTTTTTGTCTTTTTTAAAATGTACATGGACAGAACTGTGAAAAAGCAGGTGAGAGACAACGAGGCAGGGTAGAATTTCTATATGATCACAGAATAGTCTTCAGGGCTTCTTAAATATAGTAAAACCCACTTGATTAGTTGGTGCATATGCATTCAGTTCTAATCACATTCATTCGAAACTTTAATTAATATGTTAAGCTTAGGAAATTGCCAATGATGCTCATCCCACTCAAAAATTACAACTATATAGTATTATTAGCTCAGTTTATTATGTCCATTTTAACACACTTGAATGTATGTACAAACTTAGATAAGTTTCTAAATCTCACTGATAAGTTATTTATTACTAGATAAATATACAGTTATACATCTATCAACAGTATGTAAAAGCTTTCATCAATATAAACATAAAGAAATGCTATTTGTAATACCTAGATAGCTAGTTTCCAAGTGAAAACTGCAATAATATTACTTACATGCATATCTGATTTGTCTATTGATTCATTTAATAAATACTTTCCAAGTTGGTTGGATGATTCTGTTCCAAAATGGTCTTTTACAAAGCTTGAATCACATGATTGAATAATGCAACAAAAATTTTCTGCTTCCCCAGAAGCAAGATAGGACATTTCCTAAAATAAATCACATAAGATAAAATTTCTAGATAAATATGCTAGTTAGTTAGTTAGCAATATATAACTATCAAAATGTAGTAGAGTTTTAAATAAAATCCTGTAAAATCAGAAACTCATCCAAGTTAGATGTATCCTGGCACATTTTAAGGAATTGTGGACAAGAGCCAGTGAAAGTTGAAATTCATTTGTTGCCTTTATCTCATGTTTTTCTAGCCAGGCAACAGAATGCTTCCAAAACAAGGGCCATTTAATAAGATGTGATATGGCATGAAAGTTAAAGTTCAAAGTAAAAGTCTTGTAAAACTACTGAGAAATAGTAACCTGTTGCATTGTATCATATTTGAAAAAAATACACTGTGAGTTTGTGGTATAGATGTTACAGTTGTAAAAAATACTTGGAATGGAAAACTCATATATTTTTTAATAGCTTACTGCATAAGTGCTAGAAGAAAAGTTTCCTTTCCACATTGTAAACAGATCAATCTGCTTGCCATTCAAGTTGGACAGACACACTTCATCATCCTTTATAACAAATAAGTATAGACATCTATTTCAACCTTAATATTAAAAAGAACTCTGCCTAGTCATGAATAACATATGAATGCTAAAATTGATATTTGCAGTTACAGTAATTTATTCTCGTGTTCCTTTGTGTTTTTTTTAAACAAATTTTATTAGTTTTTAAAGACAAACAAAATATAAAACGTAAGAACATAAAACCTCTTTTCTGAAAGCTACTTGTAAATTTTAACAAGACAAATAAAACATTGTTTTATACAGCATAGTTCTAAGTTATCACATTTCCATATAAACACATGCATATCTTTTTCGAATTTCTCGTTATTTCTCCCTTTGCTTTTATTCAATTATATTTCTTTTCTATATTTGTCTATTTTATATGTTTTTATTCATTATACTTATATTTTCATCTGACTTGTTTACAGTTTCATTATTCTCTTCTAACATTCCTCCAAGGTTTTATTAATTCTCAATCAAACATGAACACACAAAACACAAAACATAGAAACATAAAACTTCTTTTTGGAAAGTGGCTTAGCCCCGGGTTACATCTTTTTGTACAGACCTAAATCAAATTCATGCTCACCTTGTATACAATTACTTATCTTATTTACCATTCTATATTTTCTATATAACTTCTCCCCTCTTTTCACTCTCTTAATTCTATTTTATTTATTTCATCTTAATTTAAATCATTATACTTGTATCTTTTGTCTGTTCTTTTCCAATTATCTATTTATCTCTTCTCTTTAAACACAAAATTTCTCCTGTAATCACTAATTGAAGTATGACGCCTTTCTATCTTTCCCCTAAGTTTAACACTTAAAATAATACATAATTTCCATTCTGATTCTGCTTAGTACATTCTACATACTGCGTTTTAAAAAGAAAATAATAAATTTATAATATAGACATATAGTTTCCATTCTGATTCTGCTTAATACATTTTACATTTTACATACTACATTTTAAAATAAGAAAATAAGTTTATAATGACATTAAAACAATAGCAAATTAAACATTCCCTTTAATATTTTATTAAATATTGAAGTCTATTATTAAATCTTAAGCATTTTGATATTTTAATATTGTGTTAGATCTTGTAATATTCCAATTTTCTATTTCAAATACAAATACTACAATACAATCTTATGTACTTTGCAGAATCTCTTTTTAATTATACTTTACCCTTTGTCTCTAAAAAAAATCTGCTTTTTTCCATCTTGTTTCAAGCCTTTGTGACTTCTTTTTCCTTTTTCCCTTCCTTTCTTAACCAATCTGGCCTTTTTGCCCCCCCCCTTAACCTCCGCCTTTTTAGCTTCTCCTCTCTGTTGTATTCCTCTTTTCTGTTGCTTTCTGACACTGTATTGATTTTTCACCTTATTTTTCTCTTTCTTGGTTGTTTTTTTGAATCTTAAATTCTCCATTTTTCTTCCCCTCTTCCTCTCTTCTTTCTTGGCTAAAGTTATTTGTCCATTAAAGATGGCTTCTTCTTCTTGTTGTTGTATTTGCTGATAGGTAGAAATCGCCATTTCTAAGAAGTGGAAAACAGATCCAAAAAAGCCCTTGCCTTCTTGTTCCTCTTCTTTTAATTTTTCAAATTCCATTTTTAATTCTTCCACAGATAATGCCATTATAAAGTTTTTCCTTCTTTCCTTTTTTTAAAAAAAACCCAAGTGTTTTTAATCTTAGAGTAATTTCCAAAAGTCCCAAAGTCATCAAGCAATCCAAACAAACACAAAATGTTTCATTTAGCACCTTCTTCCCTTTACACTTTCTCCTCCTGGGGCAATATCAATTACAAAGTTCCAAAGTATATTTTTGAAGTCTTACTGCAGTTAATCTCTGATCTTATAAACTCCAAGCCGTCTCCTCCAGCAAGATCTTAATATAAGATGTTTTTTTTACCTCTCCCTTCCCACTTATAGCAAAAAGCTTTTGATTTTTACCTTCTGTGCCAAGGCAGATTTTTCAATGTCCATTTGCTATCTCCGTAAGGAAGGAGAGTGAACTTTCCCATTTAACACTTTCATTTGCCGCTTTGACAGTCTCCTTTGGAAAGAATATATCATTAAAAAAAAATTAAGTTTCCAGGGTATTTGGATATATCTTAGTGTCCCGGTTCAGCCAAAAAACTTTCACTTTCTAACACTTCCTCCTGCGCGATCTTGTCCGGTTGAAGGTTTCTTTGTGGCGGCCATTACTGACCGCCACTCCACCGCCTAAGGAAAAAGGAGTCTAGCCGGCTGGGGAAAGGGGTTGCGATATCCCCAGACCCCTGCCCGGATCTCCTCTATCTTCCGTTACCGCTCCGGGGTAACGACAGCCTCCAAATCCGGCTGGATCGGAGGCACTTCAGCGGCGAGCGTAGCAGGAACCGCGCACAGTCGCGGATTCCTGCCACCGCCGAAGCCTTGCAACCGGAAGTCTCTCCTCATTGTGTTCCTTTGTTATCGTTTACTTTATTGTTCTATTATTTTACTTCTGTTTACATGCCTTTTCAGTTTTTCTTTTTATTATTGTAAGCCACCTAGAATAGTCCCATGATTATTTATTTTACAAATAAATAATATACTCTATGTTGATTCAATGTTTAAGAAGAGAAAAACAATCCCCTTTAGTTTTCTTACTCTAAACCTATACAGATATCATGTTGCTCTTTTAGCCAAGTGTTATAATTTCAATTAATGTATTGTCTAATAAAGCTATTTCAGGATTTGCACATCTCACTGTCCAATCAGCAGCATTTTCGTTTACAATTTTTTCCAGATTTATATTTGAAACTGTAGGCCTTAACTTCATCACCAAATGCATTAGGTAATTAATTATTACAAAGCTAAAAAGCAGAAATATAAATGAGGAGAGTGACATTAAAAGACAGGGGTATCCTACTTTGGATTATTAGGTATAAAATTACTTTACAAATTATTTATTTCTATTTATTTGTTAATCGGATTTATATCCCACAATTTAAAAAAATTCTCAATGGCTTACAAAGGTAAATAAGCATCATGATTCTATCTAAGAATAGCTTATAAATAAAATTAAAGACCAAATTACAAATAAGGGAAAGTAAAAATAAGAATAACAAATAAGGTATTCATATACATAATTCTAGAGGGGAACTTCTTAGCAGATAGTATTTTTCCTTTCACTTTTCATAAGACATGCTATAATCACAGGATACAAAGAATAGATTCCACAGATTAGAATTATGAGAACCAAAGAGCTGTCTTTCCTACTAGATGCAATTACATATCCCTAAAATTCAGATGATGAACAAGAACTTACAGTTCTAAAAGGTGCAAGGTTGTACAAACGTGAAGATATAAAAGACATGATTAGTCATGATGGGATGAGCATCTCAGATAAATCCTTGATTTATGACCACAATTGGGCCCAGCACAACATAAGTCACTCGACTTATGACCACACTTAGGCCCAGCAAGGTGGTTTTTAAGTGAGTCATGTCCTATTTTATAATTTTTTTGCCATGGTTATTTATTAATTAATTTTTATGCCTCCCAGTCTCACTGATACAGCAACTTTGGACGGCTTACAATATAAGCAAATCTGCAGTGATTTGTTTACCATATTGTTGATAAGTACAGCATTTGTTAAGTGCAGTGAGCAAATCTGGCTTCTCTCATTGACTTTACTGATCTGAGGTAACAATGGGATAACATAATCCCAGAATATTGTACTTGTAAATACCATTGCCAAGCGTCTAAATTTTGAACCTGCGACTGTGGGGATGCTGCAAAGTTCGTAAGTGTGAGGACTGGTTGTAAGTCACTTTTTTCACTGCCACTGTAAATTTTGAATGGTTGCTAAACAAATAGTGGTAAACCAAGGATTACCTGTTATGGATGCCAGAAGGTGAAAAATGCCAGCCCCATTTGAATTAGTCCATTGCCTTCACATATAATAGAAGATGCTAGGGTGTTATTCAAGATGCTGCTGATTTCATGACAAGATTTAATACGTGGGCAATGAATTGAAGATGGCATCATCTTCTCCTTTACCTTTAGCAGCAAAGTGTTTTGGGCCTGCCCTAATCCAACATCCTTCTGGATGTTTCTGGGTCCTTTGCTATAAGCATATCCCTTATATTAGAGTTCTATGGCAATTCACAGTATATTTTTTTCCAGTTCCAATATTGAGTTTGGAAATTGATTCTGAAGTACTATAGTAACCTTAATG